GCTACTTGGCTCGTGATGTGCTTGAATGTGGTGTGGCAGGACATGGTGTGGCAGGATATGGTGTGGCAGGGTATGGTGTGGCAGGATATGGTGTGGCAGGACACAGTGTGGCAGGACATGGTGTGGCAGGACATGGTGTGGCAGGATATGGTGTGGCAGGACATGGTGTGGCAGGATATGGTGTGGCAGGACATGGTGTGGCACCTCTTCCATTCCCTCACCGACGGCACACGGTGCCTCAAGTCCCTAATTCCCCCACTTACCCCCATTCCCCCCCCATTCCCCCCCATTCCCCCCCATTTCCCCTGTGTTCCCCCGCGTTCCCCCCTGTTCCCCCCCATTCCCCCCCATTCCTCCCCAGACCTCCTCGGCTCCCCTTGCTACTTGGCGCGTGACGTGCTCGTTCGCCTCTTCTACTCCCTCTCCGACGGCGCAACGCCCTTCCTTATAAGCACGTTCGCTATAGCGGCGAACGCGGTGCTGGACTTCCTCTTTGTGCACTGCTGGGCGTTCGGCCCCCAGGGGCTCGTGCTGGCTACAGCCGCTGTGAACAGTGCTTCGGCTGTAGTGCTGCTGTGGCTGGCGCACAGGCGAATGGGAGGTGAGTTGAGTGCCAGCCAGCTGCGGCCTGCTCTTGCTTGATCACCTCACAGTTCCACTCACACCTCATCCCCAGACCCAGTTCAGAAACTTCATACCACTCTCAACCGCTCCCTTCTTCTCGTTCCTCCCATCCTGTGCCGTCCTCCTCTCCTTCCTCTACAGGTCTCCCTCTCTCTCTCTGGTGGCCGTCCTTCTCCATCCTCCTGCAAGCAGCCGCTGCTACAGCTGCCACCGTTACTGCCACACATGCGCTCCTCTCTGCCGCCCTTACTGCCGCCTCACACTCACTCTGCTTCCACCCCAGATGGGTGTGGTTCCTAGATGCTGCAGCAGTCGGTACGGCAGCTGGTGCCGGGTTCCTTGTTTTCTGTGCGCTTGTGGTTGCAATGCGGTTACCGGAGGCCATGCCACTATGGGCTCGTGTGAAATTGCTTCTACAGAAGTATGGCATTGTGAAGGTTAGAACTATTCCATAGTTTGTATGTGTAACTCGCTTCAATCTTTGTAGTCCTGCACTTGTTCAATGTGCATGCTAGTGGGTTGTACCGTGAAGCATCCGATCCCTCATTATTCCAATGAAGATGTACATTACTCAAGAATATAACGAACCAAAGCGTCTACATGCACCTAAAAAATATGGCATCGTATTTTCTGCAGTAAGAGTGTAGCGGATCGTTATAATGTTATGTAAATCAAGCATCAGGTTGAGTCGTGATGTGAAAAGGTGCTTTGGTTGGAAGCAGTCTATTTTCTACGAATCATAATGCACCGTATCCCGGTGTAGCTCGGAAAAATGCGCAAAATGTGCTGCAAGGAGACCTCTTTGTGATTCTTGTCGATTCCCCCGATCAAACCTCAATGATTGAATCTAAGCCGTCAGCAACAAGGTCCCTTTCAGCAACGCGACTCGATTTTTCAAAAGGACTTCGCGGCTCGTGGCTCCAAGCCCCACCATGCGCACAGATTTGGCGACATGCGATGCGACACGACGAAAGAAATTGCATCCGTCCCTCCCACAGGCATCCATCCGTCCCTCCCACAGGCAGCTGCCCTTCAACTGCACGCATCTGATTTTCCAGCAATCACGCCCCTCGAATCCACAAACAGCCCAGTACAGAACAGTATTTAGAAACTACAAGGGGTATGCTATTAGGTCCGTGACATTTTACTCCATATAATACTCCAAGGTCCGGAATTTGATAAGATCCGGCACGATGTACTCAGTCTGTACGGTATACATCTACTGTTGACTTCGCTAAAAAGGCGAAAGAAAACATTGTCACCAATCACGACAGTCGCATAATGCCACCGACCATCGAGTCGCACCACCCAAATTGGGTGCGATCGCAGCATGCGAGTGTCGCCAATCAACTCGCGAGTGCGAGCTCGGAAATTCCTCGTGAATTGTGCTTGGAATTGCCCGGCCAATACTCGCTTGCCAGGGCGATCAGACGTAATCATGATGGACCGGGGGGCGACAGCCAGCTGGTACCCCCGTCCACCTGGCACTTTTGTTTGCGCGCTGACATGGGCATGAATCCGTACCCCTTTTTCATCCATTCTTTCTTATTATTACGGTCCTATTCTAATCCTTGTGTCAAGAACATTCAAGGCGTTTTCCATATTTTATAACCAATCACGTAAATATTCAGGCTTTCCGCGTGACACGAACAGGTCGTCTCGAATACGAAAACACGACCCACTGTCCCTCATCACCATTAACCAGTGCACATTTCGAAAATGTTTTTCTTAAATGGTTTTTTTCACCTACGTGAAAGTGTGTGATTGGTTAACGAAGCCGCTCAGGCGAGTCGTCATAATTTCGTTACGTTAAGCCCTTTTCGTGAGACCACAAAAAGGGTTTTTCAAATTATATGATTTGCGCGTTTTGAGCCTGCGCTGCTTGCGGAAGGTCGAGAACGAGGTGTTACTTCTATTGTCCGCGGTAATTCTGACCAGACGACAAATTCGCTGAACGTTTTTTAAGAAGCCACATGAGCCCTCACATGACACGCGGCGAAATCGCTGGTAACCTGGCCCAAGGGCCAATACGCCAAGGCACCCATCGTGAACAGAAAGAGTAAAACGGCCTACGCCACCCCACCTAAAACCGTACGTGCTACTCGATAATCCATTTTGCCCGTAGTGAACTGCTTTTATTCGTCGTAGTCCATATTTGCGAGTCGCGGATTTGGATTTGTAGCACCAATGAAAAACAGCACCTTCGGATTGTTTGAGACTCATGCCCCGCAGCCCATCCAGCCCACAGGCGACTTCCCCTGCAATGGCTCGCTCACCTATAGCGGCGCACGAGTGACGATGACGATTGCCAATACGTCGTTAACTAGGTCTCTTTTGTACGGTCCCCTTTCGTCTCGTGTCTGTGGCCTATCCAGCTGGCGGGTTTGCTTCTTCGGGTATAATCCAAGTTCTTGGGGTCTGCAAGAGGACTGAGGGTCTGCAAGGATGTCGTTTTCTCGTCGTGGGGATGAACAGTATTACTACGCGTGCCACGCCCTCATCGTTATTTTCCCTCAATGGCGGGTTTCACTCTTGGTGAGGCCACACACCATCGCGAGTCGTGCGTGGTACTAGTAGTACTCTGTGGCGCGAACCATTTCTCAATAACTAATTGAGAAGCGTTGAACGTCCTTTCACCAGACAGCTCTCCTCTCTTTCAGCGTCGTCCTCCGCCGCCATACCCCGTCAACGGGATAATAGTAGTTACTACTCACTACCGTCACGGCATTAGTACCCCGGCCTTGTGCATCGTCAACGCGCCGCGCATCATGCTGAGCGACTCGGATCCCGCCATCGTGATGCTTCCGGACGGCACGATTCGCCTCTTCACGCCGCCGGCCCGAGACGCGGCGGCGGAACCGCCGTCGGCGGCCTACTCCGACTCCGATGCGACGGACGACAGCCGCGCCGCGGGGAGTACGGTCCGCGGACTCAGGCTCAGTCCCCCGCCGACTCCGCCCGCGAGGATACGCTGCGGCGACGCAGACGCGGCGGACGTCGAAAGCGCGCCGGGCGCGCAATCCGAGTCGGAGCACACCGAAGCGCACTCGGAGTCCGCGCTAGCTTCAACAAGTCCGCCGACGCTGGAATCTCCGCGCCCTTCCCCGTTCTTGACCGCTGCGGACGTGCTGCGCGAGTTCCCCCGCCACTACCTCGCGCTCTCTTCCCCCGACCCCCCGTTCTCCCCCGGGGTCTCCGCAATCCCCCCGCCCGGGGACCACATGCCGCTTCCCCCTTGGCGTCCGCTGGTCCCGGGCGCAACGTACCACCTCGTTCCGCACGCGACGCTGCGCCAAGGCGAGAAAACCTGCTCGGCGCGCTCGCTGCTGCGCACGTTCGCGTCGTGCCCGGAGAGATTTGATTCCGCGACTCAAGGTGGCGACAGGAGCGGCGCCGGAGGCTCCAGTTGTGCTAGTAACAACAAGCCATCCCGCGGGACTAGTATTGACGGCGCCCCCGCTGCACTCCCCGGTACTACCCACTCCGCGAGCTGTACGCGTTACAAGGTCCATCGCGACAGTCGCCTTCAGAACTACCAGTTGTCGCAACCTCACACGATGATAAGCCGTTCCGTCAGCTACACGGGGCCCCACACGGCGTGCGATTCCCCATGGGTACTACACGAGAGAGAAAGGGGTGGTAATCCAGTACGGAACTACGGAATAGTAGCCGCGTCGGCAGTTGGGTCAGGCGGACTTGAGACGGGCGATGTTCCATCCCCGCTAGTGGCTGCGTCGTCATTGACACTCCCAGAGTCTACACCCACTCGTGGCACGCGTTCTGGTGCTAAAAGGCTGCTGCGGAAAGTGCGGATGGCTGCACTGCTCAAGTGGTTTCACGGCAGCACTTGGTGCAGTAACGACTTCGGATGTAACTGCTGTTACGGCAACGAAAACAGCGCTTTTGAGAGGGGAGACTGTTTGAGAATCCCTGAGGCTCGAAACGGGGGTGGCTGGAGTGGCAGCCGCAGCTGCAACATCATCAGCATCAGCAGAAGTAGCAACACAACCAGCAGCATCAGCTGCAGCAGCAGCAACACCCCCAGCAGCAGCACCCTGTGTGGAGGCCGCGGTATGAGGCACCAGCAGCCTGACTGTTGCTCCAGCATAATGAGGTCTACAAGCCTCTTCTCGGAGCACCCGTTTTCTCCTATCGAGATTTGCTTTACAGCGGATTCTTCCTGGGAAGACATGCAACGTGCCAGCAGGATGCTGGAGCTCGCTGTAAATGAGCCACGAGAACCTGGAGTGTAGTAGCCCTTAATATAATCACTTCGAATTTCTGATATACTGCCGTATCTACGTTTAGTCAGCTACAAGAACCTAGTGTGTGCCATAGCTTGTCATGCTCACTTATTACAATACTCAACTTGCCCATTTCTCCATTAGCCTGACCTGTCCCAATTTTGTCTGCATGTCTTGTCACACGGATGAAGACAGCAGGTGATGACAGCGTGAAGTATGGATGGGGAGAGAGAGTGACAAATGGAGGAAAAGAGGGAGAAAAGGAGGAAAACAGTGAGAAAGAGGGCAGCAAGGCAAATTTGTGGAGAGAGAAGTCAGGGAGGGAGCCAACACAGACAGCATTGTGGAGCATGGCTTTAATCCCGTACCAGTGAGCAGCACCAGTGAATGATACCTCTTGGTGCAAAACCCATCAATCTTGAGTTTATATATTGTTAAAGAACATTCGCGTAAGCTGGAAAACCGCCAGAATCGCTAAAGAAGATGCCACCAAGTGGTTGAAGTCGCTTACGCTTTGGAAAATGCCGGATTACTGCCAGCCTATTGTTGCGACACCTGCCTTTCCACCACAAATATATTCCCCTTATTGTCACGCCCGATTCGTACAGTGTCGTCCACATAGCTGCATGTGACAATAACGAGAGATGCATGCAGGGTATTCAAGAGCCATGCAAGTGACATGGATCATCATGAAAGGCATGTGTATCATGCATTATGCAGTCCAGTGAGTAAAACGTTGCATGATGTATAGAACCAAGATAACCACCACCAACCAGGTGTGTTTTGAGTCGACTCAAAACACCCTACCACAGAAATTGGTACATTAACTCACATAATTTCAAGCATCATATTCACATACCCCTTTTCAGTCATCACATACACCTACATGATTTCCGGTGTATTTTGAGTCAGCTCAATATACACCTTTTCAGTCATCACATACGCCTAAATGATTTCCGGTGTATTTTGAGTCGGCTCAAAATACACCTTTTCAGTCGTCACATACGCCTACATGATTTCCGACCTCCAGAAACACTCACGTTATCTCGAGCCATCCGTCCGGGTTGAATACTTGCAGCAGCAGATCGTAGTTCTTCTCAAACAGCTTGCTCAGCTGTAATAGGAAATAAGGGGAAGGGGGAAGAGAGCTGAAGGGAGGGGTTCAAGCCTATGTACCTAGTGGCACCCACCTGGTCCGACACAAAACTGGAGCTCTTGAAATGGATGTCTTTTCTCTCGAAGAGAAAAAGGTAGATTTCTGAGAGGGGGGCCGGCAAGCCTACCTACTCAGCTGCACCCGCCTGGTCCAGTGAGCTCACCTGATCTGGCACAATACTGGAGCTCTCGAATCTGATGTCCACACGCTGCGGCAGCAGAGCAAAGCAAGGGGAAACGTTTGGGAGTGGGGGGAAGAGTGTTGGGGGAGGCTCGGACAAGGGAAGGGTTGGTTGCAGAGAGAAGGAAGCGGCTTTTGGGAGACGGAAGGTGACTTTTGAGTCGACTCAAAAGTCACTTTGAGTCGACTCAAAAGTCACCTGGGAGACGGAAGGTGGCGTTCTTGAGGCACGGAAAGAATCGAAGAAAGATGGTTGGGGGGTTTGTCTCAGAAAACGGGTCCGCAGTAAAAGGCAACAAAGATGCCTGGATGGACCATTCTTACTTACAGAAGGAGAGGACACAGTGTAGGTACATGACTATGGCCACCCCTTTTACAGTGTCGGTGGATTTTCATAGTGACCTTGCCCGACAGTAGGCCCCCCATTTTACGATAAAAGAGGAAAACATGACACAATTGCAGGTGATTTTATAGAATTCCCAACTGCCCCTTTCTGCTCCCAGTGGGACAGGCCACGGTGTTCGTCGCCTCGATGGTGAGTTTCCCTGATAGCCCCCAACCCGCTAAGACAATCAATCGGCTTATCCCCCCACGCTAGGGGAGGCAACAAGGGAGCATACACCCCCCTCTGCTCACAGTTGGAGAGGACACAGTGTACGTGGCTTCAATGGTGAGCTTGCCTGACAGCAGGCCCAATCCCCGCACTGAGAACTCAACCACGTTGGCTGCTCGCCTCTGGTGCATGCACGGAGCAGGGAGCAGGGAGCAGGGAGCAGGGAGCAAGGAGCAGGGAGCAGGGAGCAGGGAGATCGGAGGGCATGGGATAAGAGCAGTCTCATGAGGCGAGCTTGCTAGACAGCAGCCCCAATTCCCTCACAGAGAACTCAACCACGTTGGCTGCTCGCCACTGGTGTAGGGAGGGTTGGGGGTGTGCAGAGAGAGAAAGACTCAAAGCATGGTGAGTTTCCCTTGAAGCAGCCTCAACCCCCTCACGGAAAACTCAATCACGTTAGCCGCCGCCTTTGGCGTGTATGAAGCAAGGGGTGGGGAGACGAGGAAACAAATCCGGCAAAATCGGGGGACAATTCTAGAATTCCTTGTCGGGAAAAAAAAAAACAAAAAAAAAAAAGAATTGCGCAATTGTTTGAAACTTACAGTGTCTTTATCGACTATTTGCAGAAATTTCCCCAGGGATATGAAATCCCTGAGCCCCACCTTGGTGCATCTCACTGTGGCCTGTGCGTCTCACTCACCGTGCCTTTATCGACTATTGCACAAAGTCCCCCAGGGAGATGAAGTCCCTCAGGGAGATGAAGTCCCTCAGCCCCAGCTTGGTGCATCATACCATGGCCTTGTCAGCGCCTCTCACTCACCGTGTCTTTGTCCACTATCTGCACGAAATCCCC